AAATAATACTCAAATTTTTATTTTTTTTAATTTAATAATAATATTTGATTTTAATTTGCTGACATGATCTATTTATCCATCATAATTATTGGATTGATAGCAAATCCTAATAAATATTTGGGTGCGGCTAAGTTCACCCCATTTATACCCACTCCATTAATTACTAAATTCACTCCGTCTATATTTACTAATTAAAAACTTAATTCATTCAATTTTATTTTAACTTACTATATAGGCAGTGGTCAAAATTTCGTTTCGATGTATAATTTATGTACAAAAATATTTTAGAAACAAAATAAAAATAAAATATAATTTATTTTTAAAATATTAGTTAAAATATACCAAAATATTATAAAATACCTCAAAATATTTTGAAGACATTAGTAAAAATATGTCAAAATACCTCAAAATATTCTAGATCACCTCGGAACATTGAAAATTTGCTTTAATTACTATTTTTGTTTAAGTTTCTTTGAAATATACATTAATAGTTTGATTAGGTTGATATAAATGTGATGAACTTAGTCATTAACGAAGTAGGGACTCTCCTTTGGGTGACACATGTTATTTCTGTTTTCTTTTTGGGTCTAACCTCCTAACCTTTCGACTCTTGCAATGTTTTGAAGCGGAGAAATGGTTGGCTCTGATCCCAGGAGGTAATCCGAAAGGCACTCTTAAGTTTCAGGGGGCCATTTTTGATTTATTAGTATTGGTTAATGGTTGAAAAAAGAGGTTTGGGGTTGGGTTTCACTGGTTGTTCTAGTCACTTAGTTGATGAGTTTTTGGAGCATAGTGTCGAGGATCATGCTAAAGATCCTCAACCTTAATTCAAGGCTTTCCATTTGCATTCTCTTTTGTAGCTTCTAGATTTATTTAATTGATTCTTTCCATACTTGTAATTTCTATATACAGATATGTAACTGTACATATATGTATGAAATCGACTCACCACTAAAAGGTGTGGTGATTTTTCAAACTCTCTCCTGGTATCAGAGCAGAATACGGATTAACATCCCTCTGACAATCCTCTTTCCCTCTCCATGGCTGCTGAATCTTCTTCCACTCTTCTCCCCTTCAATACCCTCATCCACATGGTTACAATCAAACTATCCTCTTCCAACTACCTCCTATGGAAAAGCCAATTGCTTCCCCTTTTAGAGAGTCAAAAACTAATCGGCTATGTGGATGGAACCATAGAAATTCCACCCCGTTTCACCCTTGAAAATTCTCAGACACCAAACATCAAATATGTGGCATGGAAACATACTGATCAGCGCCTCCTTAGTCTTCTGTTGTCCTCCCTTACTGAGGAGGCCATGGCTGAAGCTGTGGGACTCTCCACTTCACGCGAGGTGTGGGTTGCCTTGGAAAACACCTTCAACGACCGCTCCAAAATCCGTGAAATCCGTCTCAAGGATGACTTGCAACTGATGAAACGAGGCACCAGATCTGTTTCGGAGTATGCCCGCGCCTTCAAGGCCCTCTACGATCAACTCCATGCAATTGGACGACCTGTCGACGGCACTGACAAAATGCACTGGTTCCTCCGAGGTCTTGGCTCGAAATTCTCGAGCTTTTCTATAGCACAAATGGTCCTAACCCCTTTGCCCTGTTTTGCAGATATTGTGCCCAAAGTAGAGAGCTGTGAGATCTTTCAAAAATCATTGGAGCATGCTACACCATCCCCTGTTGCGTTCACAACCACCAATCGCAACCCTGCAAAGTCGAACCAGCGAAGCTATTCTTCCCGCAATCAACAGCCACGAATTGGCGGCAATGGACGAGGACAAGGACGCTCCTCTGGCAGACGACCTTTGCGCTGCCAAATCTGCCGCATGGAAGGTCATAATGCGGACCGGTGCCGACAACGGTATGAAAGCCATGGTCATACACCTGAAGCTCAACTTGCCGAAGCCCTAAATGCATCGTGTTCCATTTCCGGAAATGAGGCCTAGGATTGGTTTTTAGACACAGGAGCCTTGGCCCATATGACTCCAGCCCAATCCTTCTTGGACCAGTCCACTTTTTATACGGGTAAGGATTGTGCAATTGTCGGGAAAGGTGCGTCTCTACCCATTACCCACACAGGTAAACTTTCCCATTCCCCTGATTTTCAACTATTAGACGTTTTGGTTGTCGCTCACATTGCTAAAAATCTTCTGTCCATTAGTAAATTAACTACTGACTTTCCGTTATCTGTTACGTTTACTGATAATTTTTTCATTGTTCAGAATCGCAAAACGGGAAGAGTGGTGGCAACCGGTAAACGAGATGGCGGCCTATACGTGTTAGAACGTGGAAATTCGGCTTTTGTTTCTGTTCTGAAAAATAAATCTCTTCATGCTTCATGTGATTTATGGCATGCACGCCTTGGACATGTAAATCATTCTGTTATTTCTTTTCTTAATAAAAAAGGACTGCTTTATCGTACTTCCTTATTGCCATCTCTTGTGTCATGTAGTACATGTCAAATTGCAAAGAATCACCCTTTGCCCTATTCTCGTGTTGAACATCGATCTTCAAAGGTTTTAGATCTTATTCATTGTGATCTATGGGGCCCATCTCCTGTAAAGTCAAATTCAGGATTTACATACTATGCTTTATTTATTGACGATTATTCTCATTTCACTTGGCTTTATCCATTGAAATTGAAATTTGACTTTTTTAATACTTTTATTCAATTTCAAAAATTTGTTGAAAATCAACATTCTGCTCGTATAAAAAAATTTCAAAGTGACGGTGGTAGTGAATTCACTAAGAACTGCTTTAAAGCACACCTTAGTACCTCTGGCATTCATCATCAACTCTCTTGTACTTATACATCCGCACAAAAATGGTCGTGCTGAAAGGAAACACCGCCATGTGACTGAAACAGGTCTGGCTCTCTTTTTTCATTCTCACATTCTCACTCACTTTTGGGTTGATGCTTTTAGCACTGCGGCTAACATCATCAATCGTTTGCCCACACCGCTTCTCGGAGGTAACTCACCTTTTCAACTCCTATATGGTTCCTCTTCCAATTACAAAAACTTTCATCCATTTGGTTGTCGTGTTTATCCTTGTTTATGTGATTACATGACTAACAAATTTTTCTCTCGTAGCATGCCTTGCATTTTTATGGGTTATCATTCATCTTATAAAGGTTTTCGTTGTCTTGGCCCCACACTTCCAAACTCTATATTACCCGTCATGCCCAATTTGACGAAAATCACTTTTCGTTTCGATATACTTCTCAAGCCCAACCCATACCCTCTCTCCAAATCTCAAATTTTCTGGAACCAAGTCTCCCTCCCATAGACATGCCCCTGTCTCCCTCTGCACCACACTCTCAACATAGTTCCCAATCCGGATCCATCCCCGTGTATTATTTGTACTGATCCAGTGGATGAGTCTTTGCAGGTAACTGATGCTCATACAGTACCATCTCTGTCACACTCAGACTTCAGACCGGCTTCTCCGGAGGTCATTACTAAGTTACCCATAGTTTCGAACCAAATATTTGCCCGACGGATCTATTGAACTTCTCAAAGCTCGTCTTGCTACCAAGGGCTACACCTAGGTACCTGGTCTTGACTACACTGATACTTTTAGTCTTGTCATCAAGGCTACCACAGTCCGTGTTGTCCTCTGTCTTGCTGTGACCAACAAATGACCCCTTCGTCAACTTGATGTCAAAAATGCGTTTCTCAATGGTCATCTCAGTGAACATGTTTATATGGAGCAGCCCCCTGGGTACACTGACCCTCGCTTTTCCAATCATGTTTTTCAGTTGCAGAAAACCCTCTACGGTTTAAAGCAAGCTCCCCGTGCTTGGTTCCAGCGGCTCAACTTTTCTCATTCAACTTGGTTTTTATTGCAGTCGTGCAGACACGTCACTATTTGTTTTTCATAAGCACTCTGATATAATCTATCTGCTTCTCTATGTTGATGACATCATTATTACACGCAACAACTCATCAGTCAACTGAAATATGCATGAGATATTCTCACACGCGCTCAGCTACTTGACAGCAAACCTGTTCACACCCCCATGGTTGTTTCCCAACATTTGTTTACTGATGGTCCTTTGTTCTCGGATCCTACACTTTACAGATCTCTTGTTGGTGCTCTCCAGTATCTGACCATCTCCCGTTCGAATATTGCTTATGCTGTCAACTTTGTCAGTCAATATCTCCATTCCCCAACTAAAGACCACTTTCTTGCTGTCAAACCCATTCTTCACTATGTTAAAGGCACGCTACACTTTGGCCTCACTTTTCATCCATCTGCTGCTCCTGGTGCTTTAGTTGCTTACTTAAACGCAGATTGGGCAGGTTGCCCTGATACTCACCGTTCTACCTCTGGTTACTCTATTTATCTCAGCGGCAACTTGGTTTCTTGGAGTGCCAAGAAACAACCTACTGTCTCTCGCTCTAGTTGTGAATTTGAGTATCGTGTTTTGGCGCTCACTACTGTCGAACTTCTTTGGCTCACACATCTCCTCAGTGACCTCAAAGTTTCAATTCCACAATGGCCCCTCCTCCTATGTGATAACAAGAGTGCCAATTTCTTGAGATCCAATCCGGTTTCTCACAAACGGGCTAAGCATGTTGAGCTCGACTATCACTTTCTTCGTGAACTTGTTCCCGCTGGCAAGCTTCGCACTCGATATGTGCCTTCTCATTTGTAAGTTGCCGACATCTTCACCAAAAGTGTGTCAAAACCTCTCTTTGAACTCTTCCAATCCAAGCTTTACATCTGCTCAAATTCGACGCTCAACTTGCCGGGGTGGGGGGGTGTCGAGGATCATGCTATAGATCCTCAGCCTTAATTCAAGGCTTTCCATTTGCATTCTCTTTGACCCACAATTGTAGCTTCTAGATTTATTTGATTGATTCTTTCCATACTTGTAATTTCCATATATAGATATGTAACTGTGCATACATATATGAAATCAACTCACCACTAAAAGGTGTGGTGGTTTTTCAAACTCTCTCACATAGAAGAATTTTAGGGTGAAGATGCTGAGTAGTGTTGAGAGAATTCTTTCAAAGTCTTGATCTTTGGATAAATATTCTCTTGCTGCACTGATTACCCATTTCAACTGCACTTCTCCTTAGATCCTTCAATTTTAGCTCCTTTAATTCCCAGTTTGGACTTCACTGGTCATTAAAACCCTTGACTTTGATTTGAGATCACTCCAATTGCATACTGAATGGGAAATTTTGAGTAGGATAGGAGTGGGTTTAAGTTCGAAGTAGAGGTTTCAAACTTATGATTGTTAGGAGGAGAAGGGAAGTGAAGGAAGAGACATATTCAGCAATAGCTATTCCATGTAGTCTAGGAAATTTGATCTATGACGAATCAGTGATAACCAGTCGCATGGAAATCACTAGGCTTGAGCTAATAGCTTAGTCTGCAAGCTTGTTGTCAGGCCTCCCTAAAACCAAGCTGCCTTTAGTATCTATTACTAGTGAAAGTAAAAGTAACAGCTGTCATGATCCCCGCACCGAAGCAAGTAGAGTGACAGTGCCTAAACATGATGAAATCAAGAAAGAAGAATCCAACTTGTTGAAGATGGTGACCGAAAACAGTTGTTTGATTTTGAGTGATACAATCAATCAGGAAGGGGCAGAAGATGTTTTGATATCTTTGGGTGGTGGTCCATCAATACAGAATGTTTGTTCAAAACCAGTGGCAAGTGATGTTAGCAACATCTATGGTGAGGAATATATGGCTTTAGAGACTAATTATGAGGCGTATTCATCACATACCATGGATATTGATGGGCTAAGCCCAAAGGCCCAACTTGTGTTAGAAGCCCAATCTGAGTTTATAGCCCGACTCCAAGAGATCCAACAAATTCAACCTAATGTGGTCAACCCAGTCAAGCTCATCAGGCTCAAGAAACCACTACATCAACAAGGAGCAAACAAGGTCATCCAAGAGCCTCCTCCTCTATCACCTTGGAGTAATGGTCATCCAAGAGTCTCCTCTACCACCTTGGAGTAAGGGTCATCCAAGGGTCTCCTCTACCACCTTGGAATAAGAGTCATCCAAGAGCCTCCTCTACTCCACCAAGGGAGCATCTGGAAGCCTCACCCTCACCACTACGGGAGCATCCAGGAGCCTCACCCTCGCATCTTGGAGAGAGTCAACCTCCCTCATCCTTGAACAAGTTCTTTGGAGAGCACACCAACCGTCACACCTCGCCCGTTGAGAAGATGATAGGTCGCCTCCGCCAGATCAGCTACCTAATTACTATCAAACAGTCCTAAGCCATTATGACCGTCAGACTAGTCATACAATTACTATGTCAAGCCACTATAAATTGTAAGCTCCCCCAACACTTTGGGGGCATCAGACTCATTTGAGCATAATTCTCTCCTCCCCTCTCAAAGCCTGTAATCATGTGCTCTCCCTCCACACCGGAGATAATAAAATTTCGACGAACCTAGCCATTCAAAATGGATGTAGGTCGCATTGACCGAACCACTATAAATCATGTCTTCTCTCTCTTTCTACTTACTGTATTTTATACTACAACTTGACTAGTGGTGTGCAAACTAATTTGTGCATCATCAGTTTGGCATCGTCTGCGGGAACGACAGTTCTCACCTAGCCACTTTCCTTTGTTGAGTCAAAGTCGATCACCAACAGATCCATGAATCAACTTGAAGATAACCCACCACCAAGAAAGGAGGAGGTTGCTCCTCAACCAACCAATTCTGCCCCAAATGAGTAGTAGATGCTCAAGACCATGCAGCAACTTGTGGCCCAAAACCAACAGATCCTACGACTAATGCTCCTTGGGCGTCAAGGAGTTCTCCACATGGGCGCTCCTCATCTAGAAAGAGGAGCACAACCTGGACCTCAAGTCAAAGGAGCTCCATGCCCTGGGAGTCAAGGAGCTCCTCACATGGGTGCTTCTCATCTAGGAGGAAGAGCACAACCTAGACCTCAAGTCAGAGGGGCTCTACGCTCTGGGCGTCAAAGAGCTCCCTACATGGGTGTTCCTCATTTGAACGTCCCCTTTGGAGCCCTCTCAGGTGCCCCGCACAGGGGAGTTCCCCACAAGGGACCTCCACTTCCTCTTCCAACTCCCTCTTTTCATGGTGGAGACTCTCCTTTTCAAAAGGACGAGGGTGAAAACCAAAGCTTGGAGCATGGGAGCCATATCCATGGTAATTCCAAAGGACCTCCTCCTAATCATTGGGAAGAAAAAATTGAGGTGTAGAATCAATTGGGTGATGTCTTCAACGCTATAAAAGCACAAGGACCCGAGATAGTGGATTACCTTATAAGTCAAACCGACACACCTTTCAAACATGACGTGGCGAACTACCCACTCCCTCAAAAATTCAAGATGTCATCCGTCGAAACCCTTGATGGTACGAAGGATCCATTGGACCACCTTGAAACTTTTAAGACTTTGATGCAACTGCACAACGCCCTTAACGAAATCATGTGCAGAGCGTTCTCAACCACCTTGAAGAGATCCGCTCAACAGTGATTCACCAAGATTAGCCCCGCTTCCATCACCTCATTTGCTGAGCTGAGCAGGTCTTTCGTGTTGCACTTTATTGGAGGACGTCGTCACCAGAAACCTGCCACCACCTGCTCAGCATAAAGTAGGACCGAGATTGGAGCCTGCAAAGTTACCTCACTCGTTTTAACTAGGAAGTCCTGCAGGTCGAAGAGCCCGGTGAAAAGGTCAGCATGACCGCCTTCTTGGGAGGCCTTCGGTCATCGAGCTTCCTTTTCTCCGTGATGAAACGCCCACCCAAGAGTATGCTAGAACTATTGGCAAAATGAATACTGAGGAAATCAACAGGTCCAGGAGAGGTGAATTATCTCATGGATCGCCAAAAGCTTGATCTGCCTCTACACTGTTCTTAAATAGGTAGTTTATCTTTAGCTTAGCGGCTCTCTTGAGGGTCGCCAAAAAATTTGGCCTACCTCTACATTGTTCTTAAACAGATAGTCTATCTCCAGCTTAAAGGCTCTCTCGAGGATTGCCAAAAAGTTTGGCCTACCTCTACACTGTTCTTAAACAGGTAGTCTATCTCCAGCTTAGTGGCTCTCTCGAGAGTCACCAAAAACCTTGGCCTACTTCTAACAGGTCCAGGCGAGGTGAATCTTTCACAGATCGCCAAAAGTTTGACCTGTCTCTACACTGTTCTTAAACAGGTAGTTTATCTCCAACTTAGCGACTTTCTCAAGGGTTGCCAAAAGCTTGGCCTACTTCTACACTGTTCTTAAATAGGTAGTCTATCTCTAACTTAGCGGCTCTCTCGAGGGTCACCAAAAAGCTTGACCTACTTCTACACTGTTCTTAAACAGGTAGTTTATCTTCAACTTAACGGCTCTCTCAAGGGTTGCAAAAAAACTTGCCTACCTCTGCAATGTTCTTAAACAGGCAGCCTATCTCCAGTTTAACGATTCTCTCGCGGGTCGCCAAAAAAGCTTGACCTCTGCACTGTTTTCAAACAAGCAGTCTATCTCTCGGCTCTCTCACGAGTCGCCAAAAAAATTTGGCATTTGCTCTGCTCTCAAGCAAGTAGCCTATACCTCAAGCTTAAAAACTCTCTCATGGGTCACCAAAAACTCGGTCTCAAAAGATGTAGCTCTCTCACGAGCAATCCTCAAACTCTGTCTTGCTCTCGCACAAGCAGTCTGCCTCTCTCTTCAGGTAATCATGTTAAATATTTTAATGTATGAAATAACATTATTTTTGTCATCATAAGCAGGTTCACCCATCTCAGCTCGGCAACATAGAACCGTTGGGGGATGTGATAAGCATAAACAATCCTCAGAATATCATAGAAGAATTTGATTTTGAGAAGGTGCACTGAGAGGAGTTGGACCATCACCGCCGAAAATGTCTGGCGTACTCTACCCTAAGCTCTAGAACCAGGCTCGCCAAGAAATTCCTAGGCAAGCCCGCCTGCATAGGCGAGAACTGAACTCCCTACAGGGGCATCCAAAGCTCCTTGGCTACCTGAACTCCTTGAATCATCACCCAAAATTTCCTTGTAGCTTGCACTACTCAACCTAATGCCTAGAGAGGCGTCTGATCCCCTCTGCTCGCCCAAATGGGCAGCCTAGTGCCTAGAGAGGTGTCTGGCCCCCTCTGCTCATACAAGAGTAGTCCTGCAGGCTCTCAATCATTTGTGCTCGCCCAAAATAACACCTCTTGGTGCCTTCACGCCAAGACCAGCCTTTTTTCCACCTCCCAGCTCACCAGGATCAGCGCCCCTAGGCGCCTGATGGACCAGATCAGCACGCCCAGCGTGCAGGCCAGCATGCATGAAGACTCGAGTAGCCCCCTCACCTATTGCGCGAACTGTAGCAACGCACAGCGATGCCGCCTGCTCGCCCAGGCCTTTCTCGGCGTCTGCCTTCCCATCTCCATGCTAGACCACCCCTTATACGCGAGCAGGCTGCTTCTCAAGACGACCTAGAGTGGCACTTAGGCAATTTCCTAGCTCACCCAAGGCTTTTTGCTCGCCCAAAACAGCGTGCCCAGCTGCATGGTTGCCCAGAGCAGTGTCTGCTCACCCAAGCCTTGCACTCGGCCGTTGGACGTTATTTTGACCGAAACTTTTGATCCAAAGCTTAGAATATGACTTATTATATACCAAATCGAAGCTCTCGACGAGCTGAGCAAAACTCATTATCTTTGGTAATGAAATTTTCAAAAAAAGTCCAAAAAACGCCTAGAAAGAGGTGTTTTGGCCTCTCAAAATTTTTTTTTTTGCTTGCCCAGATCAATACTGCTCGCCTAGAACAGTGCTTCTCGCTCAAAATAGCGTCTTGCTTGCCCAAACCGCTCGCCTAGCTCTTTGCTCAAAATTTTGACCGTAACTTTTTCTATGTTGCTCGAAATAAGACTTATAATATATCAAATCGAAACTCTCGGCGAGCCCTACAAGACTCACAATCTTTGGTTGTGAGTGATGCTGTTGAATGCTCAAAAAAGGCCTAAAAACAGTTTTAGGCCTCTCAAAGTTTTTCCAGTTATGCCGGTCAGTGAAAACTCAAATTTAACCTGAATGTCCTCATTTTCAAGTTTCGTCACGCAGGACATTGGGGGGCAAATGATAGGTTAAGCCCAAAGGCCCAACTTGTATTATAAGCCCGGTCCGAGTTTATAGTCCAACTTTAAGAGATCCAACAAATTCAACCCAATGTGGTCAACCCAGTCAAGCTCATCAGGCTCAAAGAACTACTACATCAGTAAGGAGCAAGCAAGGTCATCCAAGAGCCTCCTCCTCTATCACCTTGGAGTAAGGGTCATCCAAGAGTCTCCTCTACCACCTTGGAGTAAGGGTCATCCAAGGGTCTCCTCTACCACCTTGGAGTAAGGGTCATCTAAGAGCCTCCTCTACTCTACCAAGGAAGAATTTAGGAGCCTCACCTTCACCACCAAGGGAGCATCCAGGAGCCTCACCCTCGCATCTTGGAGAGAGTCAACCTCCCTCATCCTTGAACAAGTTCTTTGGAGAGCACACCAACCGTCACACCTCGCCGTTGAGAAGATGATAGGTCGTTTCCGCCAGATTAGCTACCTAATTACTATCAAACGGTCCTAAGTCATTATGACCGTCAGACTAGTCATACAATTACTATGTCAAGCCATTATAAATTGTAAGCTCCCCCGAACACTTAGGGGGCATCAGACTCATTTGAGCATAATTCTCTCCTCCCCTCTCAAAGCCTGTAATCATGTGCTCTCCCTCCGCACCGGAGATAATAAAATTTCAACGAACCTAGCTATTCAAAGTGGACGTAAGTCGTATTGACCGAACTACTATAAATCATGTCTTCTCTCTCTTTCTACTTACTGTATTTTATACTACAACTTGACTAGTAGTGTGCAAACTAATTTGTGCATCATCAGATATTGATCAGAATATAAGTATTCTTCAAACCATTGATAAGTTCTGTTCATGGAATCAAAAATTGAGTCAGACATCATACAAAATCTTATTGTCATGGTTGTCAATAATGACACTATGGCTATCGAAGAATCTAAGCAAAAATTGTCTCTCTCACATCCCAAGATGTCACAGCAAAATAATGTAAGAGAGCAAAATTTGTTCGGGTTGGATTCTATACCTCTTTGGGGTTTTACATCCATCTGTGGTAGGCGGTCAGAGATGGAAGATGCTGTTGTAGCTCTACCATGGTTTTTGAGATTTCCTAACCAAATGTTAATGGATGACCTGATTCCAGATTCAACGAGTCAAAATTTAATAGCTCATTTTTTTGGAGTTTACGATGGACATCATGGAGGCTCTCAGGTTGCCGATTGTTGCTGTGATCGTGTTCAGTTAGTTTTAGCTGAGGAGACTGAACTTGCAATAGAGGATTTGCAGAATGGAAGTGTTAGATATAACAGGAAGGGGCATTGGGAGAAAGCTTTCAATAATTGTTTTCATAAAGTAGATGATGAGGTTGGAGGAGTCCAAAGAGGAAATGGAGGCCTTGCAGATGCCTTGGCGCCCAGTCTTAAACCTGTTGCTTCCGGCGCTGTTGGGTCTACAGCTGTGGTTGCTGTTGTTTTTCCAAGCCACATCATTGTTGCTAATTGTGGTGATTCAAGGGCAGTCCTTTGTCGTGGAAAATTGCCGATGCCTTTGTCTAATGACCATAAACCAGACAGAGAAGATGAACTTGCAAGGATAGAGGTTGCAGGAGGCAAGGTCATTAATTGGGACGGATTCCGTGTTTCAGGTGTACTTGCAATGTCAAGGTCCATTGGTGATTGATACTTGAGACCGTATGTTATTCCAGATACAGAAATAATATTTGTTCCCCGAACAAAAGAAGACGAGTGTCTTATTCTAGCCAGCGACGGTCTATGGGATGTTGTAAAAAACGAGGAGGTTTGTGATGTGGCACGGAGGCGAATCCTCCTCTGGCACAAAAAGAATGGGGATACCATGTTGAAAGAACGAGGCGAGGGAGATGACCCTGCTGCTCAAGATGCAGCAGAGTACCTCTCGAGACTTGCTCTCCAAAGGGGAAGCAGAGACAATATCTCTGTGATTGTAGTGGACCTAAAAGCTCAAAGGAAATTTAAGAAGAAAACTTTAACTCATTGATCTCTCTCCTCTATTTGTTCTTGTTTGAGATAGCCGTGTAAATAATAGATTTGAAACGTAGGAGTATTGATTATAAGTTGTCACCCAACTCCCTACTTTTCACAATGTAATTATGGGTCTTATTGTGGTATGAGTTGCTGGGTCAAAAAAAAAAATAAATAAATAAAATTAGAAGGGTCTAGAAACATACTAATTCTGGATCCTTTTCTATTAAGTCTGCTTGGCATCAGATCAGAAGGAAAGGAGTGCAGAATGAGATAGTGCAGGGTATTTGGAAGCAAAATTGTTTTCCAAGTGCTCGGTTATGTGCTTGGAAAATTTTTAGAGATGCCTTGACTACAGATTCTAGGATGAAGAGAGTGGGAGTGGCTTTGGCTAGTAAATGCAGCCTGTGTGGCCAGGATGAGGAAAATGATTTTCATCTTTTTGTGGGTTGTCCTTTCACTGATGCAGTATGGAGAAGGGTAGCTGGCCTTATGGAGGTTTGAGGGTGTTGAGCTGAATGTTTATGCTATTTTTGCTCAAGTAACTAGTGCAATGAGATGGCAAGTATTTATGGTGAAGCCTGGTAGAATGGATGATGTGAGGGGTAAGGAATTGCTTCATGATTTGAGGGTGGAAGTTTCTTTTTCTGTATTTACTAAGCTGCAGTGGATTAAGGTGGAGCCTCCACCTGTGAATGTGTTAAAACTCAATGTGGATGGAGCTTCAAAAGGAAGATGTGGAATGTCTGGAGGTGGTATGGTCCTTAGGGATTGCATGGGGCATCTGGTTGTAGCTGCTGCTGCCTTTTATGGACTGGGATCAAATATGAAGGCCGAGTGCAGGGCCTTGTTGGATGGATTGAAACTGGTTCTGCAGCATGGTTTTGAGCAGTACCAGGTTTTGATAGAGTCTGATTCCCAAGTTTTAATTCAAATGGTGATGGGGAAGGCAGAGATACCTTGGAGGATGCAGAGGGATATGGAGCAGATCTGGGAATTGCTTGGTAGACTGCAACATCAAATAAAGCATATTTTTAGGGAGGCAAATGTGATTGCTGATTTTTTGGCCAATTTAGCTGTGCAGACTGAGTCATGTGCTGAATTTTCAACACATGGCAGTCTACCTTTGTCTGGTAGACTATTATTACATCAGGATCAGTCTGGCTTACCCAAGGCCAGGAAGAGGAAAGTAGTGGTTTGTAATCAAAGGCAAGGGGTTGGATGATGAGCCAAGAGTACAGCCGAGTTGTAAGGAGTTAGTTTTAATCTTCTTGTAGGATTAAAGCCAACTCTTGATGGCATAGTCTTTTCTGCATCAGGCCCTAGGGCAGGAGCTGAGTTGAGTGATGGAGGAGCTGGATAGAGCTGAACTGTTGATCTGGTCTGTTCTGCTTTGATCTGGACTGCATCTTGGATATCAGATTGAGCTGGAGAGCTGTTTTGATGTTGCAGTGACTTGATCAGTCAGGGCAGGGGCTGAGCTGAGCTGCAGGGTCAAAATACAGTTGCTGTACAGGATCTGTTGTGAATTTTTTTACAGATTTTCTATTTTTGTACAGTTTACTGTTTTTGATTTGTTAAAAAGAGTCATTGTTTCTTAACAATTTCTGTTTTCTTTGCTTCTTGTAATTCTTGGGTTCAATAAATAAAATTCTCTCTTTATTCAAAAGAAAAAATAAAATAAAATAATGAAGTAGGTATAAATTGAGTGAATTTAATAATTTAAAGTAAAAAAATTAAATGGGGTGGAAAAACAAATTTAAAGGGATGAGAAAGAAGATTTAAGGGTGAGAATAGCCCCACCCCAAATATTTGTGCAGTTGTCAATCAAGTTATTATAAGTGATTAGTTCAGTAAATTAGATTAATAAATTAAATTCAAATAACATTACTCTTTTTAATTATACACCTTTTAGGAAAATATCATTCAAAAGATCTGTAAATATGGTCATAAAATGTTCATTTCTCTTAAACAAAATATAATGAAATTCTCAAACCATCATTCTATTATGATGCTACTTCATCTCACACATTAATGCAATTATTTATTTCAATCCCTAAGACTGTGATCATCTTAACTAGGAGTGTTAATTTTGACTCGTTGATGCGAATCTGACATACGTGATTATAAAATTGATACGATTATTAAATATGCATAATAAATAATTTAAAATAATATTTAATACTTAAAACATAATAAATATAATTTTTTTCATAGGTCTTGATATAAACATGACAAGTGGATCACATGAACACGACAAGATTGACACCTCTTATCTTAACCCAATTTTAATTGTACTATCCCTATTTATGATTTTTTAAGTTTTTAAATGAATAATTGGTTTAAATAAGAAAACAAAACAAAACACGCGATAATGGCACTAATAAAACTACTCGATAAAAAAAACTCCAAATTCCCTTGCCATTGCTTTAATGTCAATGGCATAGTCGTAAATATTGGACAGCTCAAAGGTAAAGTTTTTACCACTCCAAATTCCCATGCCATTGCTTTCATGGAAATGGCATAGTCGTAAATATTGGACAGCTCAAAGGCAAAGTTTTTACCCTTCGTCCCCATTTTTTCCATAGGTAGCTCTGCAGTCTACACCGACGGCGCTGCAGGTTAGAGTTTTGAATCGTCTCCAGTTCGGTTCCCATACATCGACGTCCACCGGCCGGCGAACATCTCAGGCACTGCTATACTTAAATTCGAGCTATCCCTCCGTTTATTGAAGTTATCCTCTCTGAGACTCGCAGAAAACCCGGCGATCCCTCCGTATATTCCATCAGCAAACCCTATATTAAAGACCATTTCACATGATAGATTTCCTATATTTCATAGTAAGGAAAAGAATTATTGATCTGGGAAGTAACATCGTCAATAAAAAGGGCGGATTGAGCAACTACAGCCCAGAAAGAGGGCTCTAATACATAATACATAATAAATTGTCCGTCCAAACATAGACACACAATCGAAACAGAGTTACAAATTTTCTTTTGTTCCTAACACAGATCTATAAGCTTGAAGATATGGCAAACAGCAGAATTACAAGTGCGGATACCGCCGCAACCATAGAATAAAACCGGCAAATCATTTTCATCTTTGGCCTGTAGAAGAGAAACAAGGAGCTGAAGGAACCAGAGAACGCGAACATTATTGAGATGATGAAAGCTTGAAAGATAGAGGGACGGCCCTTAAAGAATATGATGGGTACTCGGTTTTTATCAATCATGTCGTAGGGAAGAAACGGTAGCGCCGCCGCTACGGTGGAGGTGGCCACCAGGATAACCGATGTAGCTGTACTCTCAATTTTTTGAAGTGAAGACTTGACGGCGGCGAGAGGAGCAGGACCCAATCCAGAAGCTACGGGCGAGCCAGTCTTCTTTCCCATCTTCATTACACAAGGTGAAGCGAATTTTTTCCAGGAGAGCAGTAGTGGGGATTTCTGTTTTCCCCCTTCCTATTATAAGCAGTCCTCTCAAACAATTTATCCCTTTTAAATAAGGAAAATGATAATTAGATTTAACTTAGGGATCTAAATGTAATTTAATTGTTGGAAGAAATGTTTCTTCTTACTTAAAATTAAAATTTAATTTAATTATTATAATGAATTAAATATTTTATTAGGCCTCTAAATAAGATCAATAAAATATTGCTCGAAAAATAATTATTAAAGTTTGACAATTCAACGACCATCTGACTCAAAATTAATAAGAAATTAGCAAGCTTACATTAGGCAATTTCAAATGACAAATACGTGAATCCATCAAACTCATCGAAGAAATAAGTCCACATAACTCGGTTGAACATGATACAAATCTAATTACAAATTCGACTATCTACGATTATAATGTCTTGATTATATATTAAATAAATTTGAAAAGACTTGTATGCTTACAAAATATGCAGTGAGAATTTTATTTTGTACCTTGAAAGTTTTAAAAAAATTTATTTTATACCTTTAAAGGTTAAATTTTTCATATTACACATTTAATGTACAAAAGTGCTACGATGTGACCTTTTTTTTTAGATTTTGTTATATTTTTCGTCAGTGTCAATGAGGTAGTTTTTGACATAAAAAATAACGAAAGCTAATAAATGGGCCACATTACAATAATTTTGATACATTTATGGTGTATTGTAAAATAAATTATCTTTGAGAGTGCAAAGTGATTTTTTTTAAATCTTTTAGTGTGCAAAGTGTAATAATTTTAATACATCATACAATATAAAAAAATTAATTTTTGAGGATATAAAATAAATTTTTTAAAATCTCTCATCGTGTAAAATACAAGTCTTATCAAATTTATTGATCCTATAAAATAAGAAAAATGGTACTTGGATATAATTTGGAGAGCTGGTCAATTGTAACTGTTGAATTAAAAATAAATTTTACCTAACTTTAAAATTCAAAACTAATTTAATGTTGTAATTAATTAAGTCTTCCATTAAATTCTCAAATTAGGTATTGTTGATAAGCCAGTAATCTCGTCCAAAATTATGAGCAATTAGGTCATAAAAGAATTATTTTTCTTGAAATACATGTCCAAAAAAAGCATTGCCCATAAAAAGGGTTAATTATTTTTTAGCCCCTGATGGTTTGATTAGAAGTACTTCAATTATCTACTTGACATTTAAAATTATGCATATTATTATTTTTTAGTTATGTACCAAAGTGAAATCGATATTTTTATCATTCAAGTTAACAGAGAGTGTATTTTTCATGCCCAAAACATCAAGTAGGTTTTGTTTCCATTATTTTCGTCTAAAAATACATTGTTTAAGTGCCTAAAGTACTCTTTAGAATCTGTAATATAATACCCAGCATAGCTAGGGCATCGGTACCAAATCAAAAAATATGGAACAAAAACATGAATAAGTGATTTTCGGTCTTAGGTCAACAAAAGTCCCACTTGAGGGAAGAACAGACTCGACGTGTTGAAGAGCGGAAAATTTCTGCCTCAGCTTTAGTAGTGATTTTTGCCTTAACCTCACTTGAGGTAATTCTAATTTTTTAATGTGAGTACTATGGTAATTTTATAATTTCTTTAAGTCGATTGAAATGTTCTCAAATTCATCACAAATTGGATGAAATTTATAATTTACACAAAATCGTGCCTAATCGCATTGGACTTTGGCCAATTTCTTTTTTCGGGTGGTTGTCGGTAGTGATTACAATCAGTGTAAGTGATTTTTGTTTGACCAGTAGTTTTGTGTTTGAAGGTGTAAATTAAAATTTTTTATTTTTAAATGTATAAATAAAAATTCAAAATGATATTTTAAAGAACAATTTGAGATTAACTTTTTTATTATTTTAAGTGTGTGGGTGACTTCACATGTTGGTCGGTTCTTTTTGAATTATTGTCCTAAAGTGCGTCTTTTTGAATAAGACCGCAATTATGTTGGTCGGTTCTTTTTGAATTATTGTCATAATTTCGTCTTAGACCGCGTGCTAAGACCGCAATCATGTTTGTTGTTAGATCGCGTGCTAAGACCGAGAAAGTGGTCTCCTTTTATATTATACATCTTCAATATTCTGTTAAAAATAAATATTATATACAGTATTTGCAATTTTTATCTTTTCCCACTAGGTTTATATTTAATAATCATTTTATTATATAAATTGATATAGATAATTTTGTTACAAACTTAAAAAATATGAGCTATGCCTTTCTATCATCTTAACTTATTACATGAAAACTTTTAGTTCTTATTATAAATTTAATTTTTGAGGATGTAAAATAAATTTTTATAAATCTTTCATGGTGTAATATACAAATCGCCCTAAATAATTTATCCTATAAAATAAGAAAAAATGTATTTAGATATAATTTGGGGAGCTAATCAATTGTAATTGTTGCATTGAAAATGAGTTTTATCTAACTTTGTTTGTTATACGAAATCAACGTTGGCAATTTTCAAGACTAAGGCAGCTGTCGAGGAAACCATATGTAATGTACCTACTAGAAAAATGAAGAAAGTAGACGATAAACAATGACCTTCTTGTTTTTGACAATTTAACCACAATTAATCTTTATTATTTTAAAAATTACTCGGAATCCTTGAGATATCAAATTTTATAATATATATATATATATACTCTCGATGGTTAGTACATGATTATGAATACTGGAAATGCATAACGCGCATTGTAGTAGATTTTTTTTTTGGGTTGAACTTGTTTAGTGGATCACAAAATTCCTAACGCTGATTTATTGTTCAAATTAAAGTTAGTAAATGGTTTTGAAAACAAAACCAAAATTGCAAGACTAAAGTAATAAAACCAAAAATTGAGGAAGAAAGTGTAATTGAACATATACTTTGGAATTACAAGCATATTTTTCCATTTATTATAATTCTTATTTTGTGTGTGTGAGTGAGTGTGTGACTTCACAGCTTGGTCGGGTTCTTTTTGGTGGAGGTAGAAATCAGTGTACGCCTCTCATTATGCAGCTAATTGCGTGTTAGACCGACTGCACTTTCTCAGGACCCCCGGCCCCTCCTTTCCTTTTTCTTTAGGAAATGCACCGTAGAAAATGATGAAAGGTTTATTTTATGTTACAATACAAGAACCAAAAATGTTTTTTTCTACCTATAAATATTACTCAACTCTACTGTTAGTTGTCCTTAAATAATTCAAGAGACATAAAAATGACCCTTTATTATATTATTAGTTATTATCTGTGTCCGAAGGCACAGAGAAATAAAAAATGTTAAACAATAAATATATTTGTATTCATATCTAAAATTAAATCACAAATATAGAGAAGAGATCAATGCATTTAAATATCGGTTGTAGTGGGGGGTGAGAGGTTGTGGGCGGCAATGGTGGTGGGAGGAGACAATGATGGTTGTGGTGAGTGACAATGATGGCGGTGGTGGCGACGACGATAGTGATATTGGTAGTGGTGGCGGTGACAATAGAAGTAGTGGTAGGGGGGTGGGGGTGGTGGTTGTAGGGACAGTGGTGGAGTGGTTTCAAATACAAATTTTTTTAAAAATATTTATGAGAAATAATTTTTAAAAGTACTTTTAAAAAGTCTCTTCAAACACATCTTTAGGGGCTTATTTGTTTTATTAAATTTAGAGTGTTTAATATTAGCCGTTAGATTAATTTTAAAGTAAAATTTAAAATGATTTGAACTGCGAAAAGTAAAAGTCATTTTTTTATTTTTGAAATTTGAATTGTAAACTATTTTATTATATATAGATTATATGTTTAAATATTCTGAAAACAATAAGTAGTATAAAAGCTTGTAATATGAAAATATTTGAAATTTTTATGTTCTATCACTAGATTTATCTTCAATAATCATATTATTATATAAAGAGGTATAGATGAATTTGTTAAAAACTCAAAAACATAAGAGCTATCATTTAAGCTATTATGTGAAAGCTTTGTGTTCTTTTATATAAAGTCACCCACATCCAGTTTTTTGCACCTTCCTCGAAGAATTATCTATATTTGATTTTATATTTAGGAAGTAATGTCAAAAAACTCACCAATGAACTGTTCAATATTAAATAAAACCTTACCTCTCTTTTCTCCCCCATCTCAATAAACCACTAATCGTCGACTCCTATTTGCAAGACACAGAAAAAAAAGACTCAAAAACCTGTCTGTTTTTGTGGTTCGCCGTTCATGGCTCCTCGGTGTTCAGTCTGTCAGGTTACAGGTTTCGATCATCCCATCTTCAAAGGGGTGTACAACTGCTTATGCGAAGTGAATTCCGATCTTAAGGTCTTGGGCGGAAATTTTATGTTTAGTGTTCATCTTTTTGCGGTAAAACTGGGACTTAGGATGGCTGGTTTTCCGATAGGCGAGTCAAAGCCTATGGTCATGGCCCGTGAGATTTCCCCCCATTTGTCTGATATCCGAGTGAAGGGTATTAGGAAAGCACTCCTGAGAATGAAGGTTTTGGCAATGATTTCAATGAAGTTTGACTCCAACGAGATACCTCCCGATTGGCGTTCTAGTGATCTGTCGTGGTCTGGCAGGATTAACGCGTCTGGGGATTTCTCTTTGGAACTTGAAGGGGTAAGTTCTACGGAAGTTCAAAAAATTGATATTCCTGGGTATTTTTTATTTAATGAATTATGTCCCAAATTCCACTTCCGCGTCTTGATTCAAATGCTCGATGATCCTGAGCAATATGAATCTGTAGATTGGGTCTTATTGGCAGATATGTTCAAGAAGAAACTCAATGCCCCTGAATTAGGCATCTCCCCTGGGACTTCTAGCTCTTCGGAGGTGGTTGCCGATTATCCTCCACCGCGAGATGGATCTGTAATTTTGGACATGCCGGCAGAGACCTTGAGGCAGTCAAACTTCCAGAAGATATCTCCCTATTCTTCTGAGGAAGAGGTGTCGCAGGGAATGGGAACTGCGCGAGGGGATATAATGTCTATACATTTAAGTAGACATCGACCCTGGGACCCGTATACATTTAGTGGATATGGAAAAGATTCACCTGTTGGTGTTGGGCTTTCTGCTCGTACTGGTGGTTCGAAGCTTTATGAAGAGTTCTCAGAGTCGGAGCGACTGCTTACTGCACGAGCGCATCTCTTTTACAAAGAATATCTCGAGCCTGTGATGTCCACGAAGAATCTCGAGGCTCCAAAATTAGACATCGACCCTGGGACCCGTAGCTTCATGGAGAAGTTTGGCAAACGGCCTGTGACAGTGCCTGTACACTGCTATGAACAAACCTATACCTCTTTTGGAGGGGGAAATGCTGAAACACCTGAAGATGTCATTAAAATACCTGGTAAGGTGATCTTGAGTTTTCAATCCGTAGCTGCAGAAGAGCATGTCATCGACTTTTGTGAGCAGATGCCAGAAACAAAGAAAATTATTCCTGTGATACGTTTTTCAAATGAAGCAACCGATCCTCCTGCTAAATTAAATGAGATAGTGATCGGAATCACTGGTCAAGCTGCCTTTTCTATTATGGGTTATGCACTCACTGGCTCATCTTCTTCGCCAGCTTCATATTTTGTGGTGGGAGCTACTGCAATTGGTTTCATTTGCACTTTGATTGCCCTCACACTAAAGGGTACTAAAAAGCCTGAGGCACGCATTCTGGGAAAAGTTGGAGCCATGGCAGCAGCATGTGCAGTTATTGTGGCTATGGGAATGTTCCTTCCTGCGAACACCATTTGGACCACCGGGATTGCGATTGCTTGTCTCATCGCTGTAGTTGCGGTGGCATTGGCCTAATCATTGCTCAAATAATTATCATTTCTTTCAAATTCGCATGTTTTCCTTGTTTGTAGTTTGTACTGCAACGAAGCTAGCTGTGTGGATCAATATACGATATTTGAAGACTCAAATTTCACTTGTTTGAGTTCATTTTATCCAGGATTAATGCTCTTTTTTTAGTACTAATATGTCTGTGATTTAGTTTATCCACCGTGTTCTACAGCTTTTCGGTTTTCGGGGGTGTGCGTGACTGATCAAATGTCCCAACTAGATGGCAAACACCACAGGCTTCTTGTTTGTTCAATCAAAAGCAAATATTTGCATGGGATCTTGATAGACCTTATTGAATGGATCCAAGAGATTGCAGGATTCTAATATTTTATTTAAGGTAATTATGTTAAAGCTATAATCAGTCATTTACACTGAAAGATAAGGAATAACAACACACGTTCAAAGTATCCAAAAAATGTGCAAACAGACTGCTGAATAAGTCAAACCTAGCCACTACACTCTAACAATCAGGATTGTTATTAACAAAAAATAACAAAAAGAAAGAAGACCAATTCTAAACCTTAATAGACTCAACATTTCCTCCCTTAAACTGAGTTGTTCATTGCAATCAGTTTACTTCTTTGGTACCTCACAGACTCCAAGTTGTTCCCTCAGTTTCACAAACGCATCAAGCTTCAGTGGCTTAGTCATGATATCTATGATTTGTTCTTGTGAACTGCAATATTTTAGCTCCACCACACCGTCCTTTGAAAGATCACGAAGGAAATGGTATCTGACAGCTATATGTTTGCTCCTCCCGTGCATGACAGGATTTTTGGAAAGCTTAATTGTAGAGCAATTGTCACAATAAATAACACTACACTTACTTTGATTCCAGCCGAGATGTTTGAGAACTCTTTGCATCCATACTGCTTGACAAGCACACAATGCAGCTGAGATAAATTCAGCTTCTGTAGTTGAAAGTGTAACCACTGCTTGTTTTTTGGAACTCCATGACACTGCTCCAGAACTCATCATAAACACATAGCCTGAAGTGCTTCTTTTATCATCTAAGTCACCAGCATAGTCACTATTTGAATAAGCAACAAGTTCACCAACTCCTCCTCCCTTCTTGTAACAAATTCCCAATTCTATGGTACCCTTTAAATACCTCAAGATCCTTTTCACCGCCACCATATGCAACTCAGTGGGCTTCTCCATGTATCTACTCACCAAACTCATCACATACATTAAATCAGGTCTAGAAATAGTTAAGTACATTAAGCTTCCAATCACCTGCTTACACTGAGTGGCGTCGACTTTTGTTCCCCCTTCATCTTTTGTTAGCTTGAAACCTGGCACCATAGGATTCTTTGTAGCATTGCTGTTCTCCATACCAAACTTTTGTAACACCTCCTGCGGATATTTTCTTTGACTGATGTAAATGCCTTCATCAATTTGAACCACTTCGACACCTAGGAAGTACTTCATCCTCCCCAAATCTGTCATATCAAACTCAATCTTCATTGACGATTTGAATTCATCAAACATCATGCCATCATTACCTGTAAATATTAGATCGTTGACATAGATACTCACAACCAACAACTTCCCTCCTTCTTTGGACTTAGTGAACAGGGTGTGTTCACTTGGGCACTTTTCGAAGCGTTCCTTGAGAAAGTAAGCTTCTATTCTGCTGTACCAAGCCCGTGGGGCTTGTTTCAAGCCGTATAAAGCCTTCCGAAGCTTGAGCACCTGCTCTTCTTCTCCTTTCTTTACATATCCTTGAGGTTGCTCGATGTAGACATCCTCCCCCAACTCACCATGCAAAAAAGCACTCTTCACATCTAGTTGATATACATACCAACTGTTTAGAGCTGCTAAAGCTAGGATCATTCGAATTGTGTCCCTTCTTGCAACAGGAGCAAACACCTCTGTATAGTCAATGCCATGCTTCTGCGCATATCCTAATGCAACCAGCTGGGCCTTGTGCTTATCAACTTCTCCTCTCTCGTTCAGTTTGGTTTTGTAAATCCATTTTACTCCTATGGCTCTTGCACCTGCAGGTAGAGTAGTTAAGCTCCAGGTTTCGTTCCTTTCTATGGCTTGTATCTCACATTCCATAGCTTTCCTCCATTTAGAACACCCTGTCGCTTCTTCATATGTACTTGGATCTCCAGCTTCAGTGTACATGACCAAACTTTGGGTCTCCTTATCTTCCGAAAGTCCTTCTCCTGTTACATAATCTCTCTCATCCACCTGGCTGTCTATGAATTCTTCCTTGTGACTCACTTGAACTTGAAATATTTACCTCATCTGAAGAACTTTGTGTGCCTCCATTATCTTTAGTTGCATCAGCTTTAGTTTCATCAGCTTCATCATTAGTTTCACTGTCCTCATTGTCACCCCAATCCAGTACACCATCTCTTGCCTCTGCTCCATTCTTGTTCCATTCTCAGTTTTCATTCTCGGCAAAGACAACATCTCTGCTTACAACAATCTTCTTAGTGGTTGGATTATACATTCTATAGGCTTTTGATTCACTACTCAGTCCCAAATGCACGCACTTTATGCTCTTGTCATCCAACTTTGTTCTCTTCTGGTCAGAAATATGCACATATCCAATGCACCCAAAAACTTTGAAGTGTTCCACTGACGGCTCCAAGCTTCTTCTGAAGTTTGATCCCTTACTGCGAGAGTAGGACTACAATTCAACAAGTGCACTATCCAGTTAACTGCTTCTGGCCAGAATTCTTTTGGAACATCCTTCTCAATCAGCATGCTTCTTACCAGGTTCATAATATCTCTGTTCTTCCGTTCTGCAACGCCGTTTTGCTGAGGTGTGTACGTAGCTGTGAGCTGCCTGCTTATCCCATTGGTGCTGTAAAATTCATTAAAGCTTTTTGAGGTAAATTCTCTGCCTCTGTCTGTTCTTAGACAGCAAATGCTTTCACCAACCTCTTGAACTTCTTGAATGTGGATAGGGCCTCTGACTTTTCAAATAAGAAGAACACACATGTCTTTCTTGTGAGGTCATCGATGAAGGTGATTAAATACTTCTTTCTGCTATTTGATTCCGGAGTCACCGGACCACAAATATCTGCATGTACCATTTGCAACCTTTGAGTAGCTCTCCGCTGACTTTGTTTAGGAAAGGAATCCCTGTGTTGTTTTCCCTTCAAACATCCTTCACATAGCTTTGCTGGAGCCTTCAAAAGCGGTAAACCTTTCACCATTTTCTTATAGTGTAAGGTTCTCAAGCTCTTGTAACTCAGGTGACCAAATCGGCAGTGCCACAAGTGTGACTCATCCTCTGTGACTGTTTTGAAGCAAACAGGTTCTCTAGAAGCAACAGATGTCAATAGTACAAACATTCTATTCGCAGACATTTCACTTCTCATAATTAGACCTCTAGAGGGATGAACCAATTTGCACATATCATTTTGTATAAGTATTGTTAATCCCTTCTCCTGTAATTGTCCTATACTTAGCAAATTGTTTTTCAACTCTGAAATGTAATACACATTAGTAATAACTTGTGTTATACCCTCTACTTCCATCCTAACATTTCCTCTACTTATCACCATCATCCTAGAGTTATTCCCTAGTTTAACAGATTGTCTAAACATTTCATCCAAACTTATAAACCACATTTTGCTACCAGTCATATGATTGCTACAACCAAAGTCTAAAAGCCATACCTCGTCCCTTTTTGCATGATGTAGTTCAACATACGACATGAGAAACATTTCTTCCTCCTCATCAAGTTCTGCATAGTTTGCTCCTTTCACCCACTCAGGGCACTCATACTGAAAATGCCCCAATTTGTGGCACTTATAGCATTCAACCAGCTCTTTATTGAATTGTTGCCTATCCCTTCCTCTTCCTCTGCCTCGAATGCCTCTAAATGCACCTCTGCCCCTTCCTCTTGCTGTTCTATCATCACAGACAACCTTTAGAGCTTGCTCCTCTTCTTTATATCCCTGCATTCTTTGCTCATGAACTAGAAGGCTGCCGTGAAGTTCATCAATACTCATGGTGTCTAGATCATTCGACTCCTCTATTGAGCACACAATATAATTGAATTTAGGAGTCATTGATCTTAGAATTTTACCAACCACGACACTCTATTGCATTTGCTCTCCGTGGACCTTCATCTTCTTCACCACGGTTAGGGTTCGAGAGATGTAGTTGTCCACCTTCTCTCCTTCCTTCATGCCTAGCAATTCAAACTCTCTTCTCAATGCTTGCAGCTGTGCTCTTCTTACTTTTGTCGAACCCTGATATTTCTGTCTCATCGAATCCCAGATTGCTTTCGCTGTTCCTTTATCAAGAATTGTCTCCATAGTCTTTCTATCAATTGCTTGGAACAAGAAATTCTTGACTTTCAGATCCTTGAGCCTGGCTTCTTTTACGGTCTTCCGCTGTCCCTCACTTGCAGCTGGTCCCCGTATTACTGCTGGAACTCCTTCCTCCACCAAACTCCACATCTCCTTGCTTCTCAAGAAGTTTTCCATCATCATGGACCAGTGATCATAGTGTCCATCAAATCTTGGAATTGAAGCTTGCATAAACTGTTCTGAGGTAGACATATTTGATTTCACACAATCACTCTGTGTTTCTCTCCCTCTCTATCTCTTGTGTTTCACTTTGAACTTTCTCACACACTCTTACTCAGGCCCTTTCGGTGCTCTGATACCAATTGTTAAGGCTCAAAGTATTTTACTCACAAAGCTACTGAAGGAATGTCACACTTATTCAAATGAAAGCTACTGGCTTTATAATCAGCCATTTACACTGAAAGATATGGAATAACAATACACGTTCAAAATATCCTAAGAATGTACAAATAGACTACTGAATAAGTTAAACCTAGCCACTACACCCAACAATCAGGGTTGTCGTTAACAGAAAATAACAAATAGAAAGAAGACCAATTCTAAACCTTAATAGACTCAACAAATTATCACATACCTTTTAGTGGCAAGAGTCTTGTGTACTAGGTACACTATGTTTTTATACAATATACAATTTATGATTTATCAGAATTTACAAACGGATATATATGGATGCTATGACCCGTATTGTTGCTCTGAGACTATCAACCATTGT